TGGCAGGCGTGGGTTAAGAAATAAAGGTATAATTTCCTTGAAACTAGAGTTGTAAATCTCAAATCGATTGTTTACTTGATTTTTTGCAAGTACCAAAGATATTAGCCTTAGGGTTTTTTTTTATTACAAATTTAAGGAAATAAATGGGGAAAACGCAGAAGCTTTGTTTATAACCTTGTTGATTATTAAAGGTTTAGTCTGTTGTTATTTGACGATCTTACTACAGTGTGTTCTCAGGTATCTTTGCCCTAAATTAGGATCAGGATGAGGGTTAAGCGTTTTACTTTTATTTATCCCCAAAAAAGATGTCCAGTCGATTTTTTTGGAAGAAGGGCAGTTATCCTTGCAGCTATGAGCGGAGGCAGCTGTGCAGAAACCTGTTGAGTTTTTTATAATCCCGAGTTTGATATGACTTAAGTGGATGGTACGGTGCTAGCAAGGTTATAGTCTGAGGATCGTTCGTGACTCGAGTATTTTCGCTTAATATTCGGTTTTTACATTTCACATGCTTTCTTATTCCTTTTTTTTTATTCTGATGAAGTGAAGATAAACATTTGGGTCCTGTATAAGGGCTGAATTAATTTCTGAAAAAGAAGGAAAGTTGCTTAAGGGCTCATAAAATAAAAAGTACGAAACTTGCCGTTAGTATTTTTGAATTTTATTATTTAAAAAAAAAAATATGAAGTGGGCATATTCTCGAAACGAGCAGAATACAATAATGTAAAATTTGCTGTATTCAAATGATTAATTAAAATAATATCAATATTATCGCTTCAGAAAAAAAACTAAAAACAATTCTTTATATTTTTATTTAAATGATGCATTATATAAGTAAATATGATATAATAAGTGAAGTCGTTTTAAATATTTTAGCGTTTGAGATAATCAACCTTTCATCGTAATATGAGATTATTATGAAAATAATTTAGATGAATAATTAATTATTAGAAATTAAGGCCATGTACATAGTAAAATACTTATTTTGACGAATATCTTATAGATGATTCTAAATGGTTGATAAAAATAAACGTCCACAAGATCGATCACAAAAATAAGGTCACGTTGACACATCTGCATCGATTCATTTTGTATGTTAATTTTATTTTTACTTAGTAGATTTATTATTTCCGTTTATTATTATATTACCAAATGTGGCCTCTCCATAACTGAATTAAAAAAAATGTATCTCTTCAACCAATAACAAATGAATTATTAAATTTAGAGTACTCACTTTATAGAAGCAGGGTTTACATTAGGAGGGTTTCTCGAAAAAAAATAAGGCTGATGTGACTGAATTAATCATTAATTATTCTCATCACGACCAAAAAATTTGTTTCATCTTCAGTATTAGAATTTTTTGCTTTAAATAAAGCCTAAAGAAATTTTGTTCATTCGTTACTTTATGATCTATTAAAAGAAGGTTTGATTTACGAAATGCCATTTCCAATGTTTTGAGCTAAGATTTTTTAAAATTGGACTAATTTTCCTTATTTCACTTCTAAAAAACGAACTAAATTTGGAACAGTAGATTTATTGTTATCTAAACTGTGTAATAAATGACACTGTATCAATAAACTATATGTGTATAATATTATAATAATATTTGTTTTTCAATAACGTTTTTTAAAATCTTTATATAAACAACTGAGGTTTGAAGGATACCTACGAAACATGGTCAAATATCTTTAAAGAATCTTGATTTCAAATTTTATTTTGTTTAAATTATAACTATATCAATACTCTTCTACAGAAGCTTTTAAGTATTTTTTGTTTAAATAAAATTGAACGCAATAACAATTAAAATTTTTTTTTGGCAATGTTTTACAACTTGCCTGATAGCAGTATATCTTCAAGGTCAGAGATAAAGATTTTTTATTATTTCCTTAATATTTTCATGATATCGTTTCTCCATAATGGAAAAACTCTCAATATTTGAGTGGCGTTTACGTTCTAAAATAAATTTCGCAACAGTAACGCTTCTGTTTAATTTCCTTTCACGCCTCTTTTAATACGCACTCGAGTCTAAAATTAATTGAACTTGAAGAGTATAAGATTGAGAAACAATGTACAAGTACAAGACAGGTGCATGTCTGGCTTGTGAGAATGGTTTATTGTTCTGGTCGAAGAACAATTTAAGATTAATTCACGGTAAAATTAGTTTCCTTCTTTTCCTCTTAAGGGGTACAATACAACAAGATAAATATTATAATAAAACATCGTGGAAATATTTAATTTTTATCGCATGTAGATTTTTTTCTCATTTATAGAAGCCATTTGTGATTTTTATAAAATTTCTCAAAGATATGCGAACAAATGTTATGCTATTGTGAAGTGGGTCTCTTATGGAAATTTTTTTTTTTTTTTTTTTTTTTTTTATTTCAATGGAATTTACAACTGTATTACATAGAGAATACAATAAGTAAATGAGAAATTTGTAACATGGCATGTACAACATGAAGAGAAACTACCCATTGGTAGAACTCAAATTAAAGTTCTATATTAGAAGATCCCGAGGCCATCTTCTTTTCAGATGCCTCGGAGGATTATCAGGGATCGAGGATGAAGCAAGGTTTGAAACGAGAGGATTCGGATGATTCTGCAGTATGGAAATTTTAATTATTTAACTATTGCTATTGACGAAAAAAATATTATAAAAATAATGAATGTAGAGAAAATTTTAAAATTGAAAAAAATAGTAATAAATCTCCTAAGATAAGGAATAATAACATCTCAAAACTTTTAAGAAAATGTAATGTATATAATGAAATAAATAAAAAATGAACTGTTCACAGATTGATTTCAAATTGAAAATTAAAAATTTCCTGATCTAGTAAAGTTATTATCATGATCAAGTTTGTAATTATTTTTAGAAAACAATAATTAATTTTAATTGTTTTAGAACGATTCAATGTTTAAGTTATTAAGCATTACATACATGAATGTTTATTTATTATGAAATAGATATATTTTTTCTCGTTTTCCTGAATTACGTTTAAAAATTATATGTTGTCATATTATTTTATTTACGAAAACTCTTGGAATTTGGGCGTTCTCAATCTGGGGGGGGGGGGTACAAACTTTGTCTATTTAATTAGACCCGCAAATAACCATTTGCTTTCTACATTGATCGTTAGATAATTTCATCACAAACTCGACAAAAAAAGTGGCCTACAAAAATTTGGGCCGTTTGTCCTGTATAATCTCTTTATTTTGAAAATTTGGGGGTATAGGTCACGCCAAACAGGTCAATATTTTTGAAGGCCCCATTTTTTCTCGATTTTGTGATTAAATTATCTTACGATCCAAGTAGAAAGCAAATGAGTATTTACGAGTTTTTAGTAAATAATTAAATATACGAAGTTTGCCCCCTTCCAAGTTGAAAACGCTTCAACCTCAAGAGTTTTCGTAAATAAAATAGTTTTAGGTTACGATGAGATGAAACTATTTACGAAGTTTGAGGCGGATGTTAATAATTTCATAAAAACGGGTCTGTACCACGGACTATATAAATGCTGACGAAAGACAGGAAAAATTACATTAAAATTATACTCACTCTTTCCTTACTTTGCAATCTCAGTAATTCGAATTAACTGCAGCAATAGCATGTTCGGATAATCGAAAACTTCGAATTTCAAAAATATAAAATATGATGAGTATCCCATGGTTATCATAGCACCTAGGATGATTTGGGTTAGAATTACGGTTTATCTTAAAAACGGAATATTTTATGTCTCAAAATCCTTAAAACACAAGTAGGATGAACATAGCAGTTATGGGCAGATTGGACTTTAAAGAGGTTCCGGTTTTTTCTAGATTGAATAACAATATCCTTTATTGACAACTGTATGAACAAGATTTTCATAAGAAAATATTAAAATGCTTATCATTGTTGTTTCTGCAATACTCTTGAGATCAGTGTGTTTCATACCTTCTTACTAACAGTTTTTTTAAGACTAAGTTGAACATTTATGTTATCTTATTTTTATTTACGTTATTTTTATAGTTGACTAAAAATTTAGAATTTATGTGATGTATGTCCATTACTGGTAACGACCTCCTGTCCATTACTAGACTAGAACAATTGAATTTCGGGGTGTTCTTCAATAGTGCAAAAAAGTGTTTTTTTTTAAATGAAAATTATATTTCCATAACTGAATATTTTTGTCAATTTTAAAATACTAAATAGAAATAGGATACCCTAGAGATTCTAAATGTCTCATGGAGAAGCTTATAATTATAATAATTACGGCGGCATAAACCAAAAAACACAAACATTTCCTGAGCTATGTCCATCACTAGTGTTGCCCAAATGCGAGACCCAGACGAGTCTTGATCTTGCAAACTCAGTTTGGTCATGGTCTTGGTCTTGCACAAGAGTCTCCCAACAGTCTCACAGTACTGTATTTTGTAGATAGGAGAATCCTAACTAAGCCTGAATGAGAAATTAGAGGAATTAAATGCAAAACTATATTGGATATACCAATTATTTACATATAGTACCTAAGATTGTCGAGTATTAGTAACGATTTTGCCTTAATTTTTTATTAAAAACATAGATTTTTTTTACCAGTCCTGGTCTTGGTCTTGCAACAGATAGGCGGCCTTGGTCTTGGTCTTGCAAAGTGCAAGACCAAGACCGATTTTGGGCAACACTATCCATCACTGTTGCGCTTACCCGAATCCCATCACGATACGCTGACTTTTGAAACCTCCAGATTTTTCCGATCACTTTTATTGTAGTTTTAATAAGATTTTAAGTTTTAAAATTGGCATACTTCACTGCTCGTTTACTGCTACTATCGTTCCTATACAAAACTATATTTTATATAGTGTAGATTCTTTGATATAATTTGTTACGTTCCGAAATATAACTTATGAAACTTAAGATGCCATATTTTAGAAGGAAATGCCACCTAGCAACGACCTAAATGAGAAAATAAACCAAGACTGGGTTATGATTCGGTAGGCGGTGAATAAGACGTGGCCTTGGACTGTAGTTACTATGGGCAGCCATGCTTGCTGCAGCTTCCGGCTTCTTCCCTTCCGCTACGGCTAGACCCAGATTTTCTGTTCCTTCTCAGGCTGTTAGTGGTGCCTTCGTTTGTACTCCATAGAATCTTCCGCGTCTAAATTAGAAAAAAAAATTGTAAGAAATGTTTAGCACATTCAATCAATATCATTGAAAGAATACTTCAACGACGCTAAATATGAAATCACAGGCGGATATATGGGAGAGAGGGGACTTTCGGGCTGAAGTCTCCCCTAAAATGGTAAAATGTAACTATCTTTTATGGAAAACAAATATTTAAAAATTATCTCCTGAAGAATTATTGTTCTTGTATTTACATTTAATAGCGCTTCAAGAATGACTTAAACGCCATTTAATGTAGGTAGTTAGTATCTTTATTATTTTTTTCAAAGTAATTATCGTTATATATATATATATATAAAAGTTTTGGGCTGAAACCTCCTCCACACCAAAAAAAAAATCCTGGATCCGCTAGTGTATGAAATAATAAGGGCATTCTTGTAACTTGTCATAATATTTGATGTGTAATGGTGCTGAAATGTTAGCCTGAATCTTAAGCGAACGATTACTCGTGCCATACTGCTTTTATATTAATATTAAGTTGATATGTATATTTTTTCTTTTCAATATATATTTTTTTCTTTTTTTTTCTGCTTATGATATTTTATATTGTTCCTATTTCTATGTTTTATTTTGTTTTACTTTATTTATTTATGTCTCTATGTATATGGTGTGAATGTGCTCTCTGAACTCTATTATAAGTGTCCTTAACCGAGACAGATTGTAATATTTCTTAATCAACAATTTAAAAAAAAAATATTAAGTTGAAACAAAACCTCCACTCCGCGATAAAATTTGAGCTTCATTTGTTGATTTCAATTTATAAGTACTTTTTTTATTTATTTTTTATTTGAATACTGTTTGGTATTTAAAAAAATATACAGAATTTCATGACATAAAACATGACAACAGTATTAAATTATTATTTTTTAAACTTATTTATTGAGAAATCCGTATCAATTTAGTGCATTTATAGTGATCATTCACCACACTCTACTTACAATAGATTAAACAGAAAAATAATCATACTGAAAGTGAACAACAAAAATATAAAAAAAAACACCTAAACTAATCAAATTAACAACTTAAACACAAGCATACTTTTATACAATATATATAGAATTATTCACTAAGGAGAACTCTGAGCCAAGCTATTCCTCTTGGATGGAAAAGCAGGACTCTAGGAGATCCCAGTGCCTCTCACTCAGCCTCGTCACTGGTATTAAGGACCAGTGGAGGATGAGCATAGGCACCGCTATAACCACAGACGTACATGGCTTGAGTGGATAATATGGTCATTGCCAGAACTCCGAAATATACTTATTTACAAAATGTCTCAGGGCCACTGTCACTTAATTAATTAATAAATAAATATACAAGAATACTTGTAAAAAAAATCTTCACTTCGAAATTTATCGATTTTTTATAACAGATAATATATAACAGATTGTTATACTGTTGTGTCTAACATTTTTCAGATTCATTTTGCACATTTTTTAATATTCCATTTCACTTTAAATAAAAGTAGTAAACACATGATGAAAATATTATATTAACCCCCTCCATTCATTTACGAAGTTAACATCAGCTTTAACAGACCACAGGCTATGTTAAAATCGAGTTTGCGGCTATATTTAACACAATAAACTTAAATAAGTTTATCGACTTGAACACATTTAAGAGATTTACCATACTTAGCATTGGTTGGATGAAATGGATGATAACCTAACATTCCTTAGCAGTCTAAAATTTTTATATCAAGTTATCACTATTTGAACTGGGTAAATTTAAACGAACGAGTAACGAAAACTATTTATTGGGTATTTGGAGTATTACCGCCATGTGGAGTACAACTGTATTGGTCGAAAATTCAATGAATTCTTCTTCCATGGAGATATATTTTTGGAACATGTCAATTCCGCTTTTCATTTGCGTGGCATGCCTCCAATCTCTTTCTCTCAAAGGGAATATTAACCGAAACAACCAGCATTCGATGCAGTAATGTAATTAATCAATGTCAGTACTTTTTTAAAATTCTATGAAAAGATGTCGACGTTCTTTTATTTAGCTTTATCTTATGCGATTTCAATTCCGTGAAATGGAGATGGAATCTTTATAAAAAAAAAAAAAACTGGCAAGCGACTAACTTGGAATCCTCATACTAGACTGAAACGACAAGGAACCGCTCGACGTTTCCGATTACTTCAGCACTTACTAGACAAACGCTCTAAACTTCCCATTAATTACAAAAGACTCATATACTTAACTATAATAAGACGTATTTGGACTTATGGAGTTGTGCTATGGGGCTCCACTAAACCATCGAATTCCTCTCGCATCCAATCCTTACGATCCAAAATCCTTCGTAAAATCCTGAATGCTCCTTACTTTGTCACTAATAAAATTATCCATAAAGATCTTAATGTTCCTTATGTTTCAGATCTGGCCCAATCCAGATACCTATCCTTCCATAATAAACTTCAAAATCATCCTAACCCTCTCGTTTCTAACCTTGCTTCCTCTTCAATTCCTGGTAACTCTCCGAGGTGTCTGAAAAGAATATGGCCCCGTGATCTCCTAATGTAGTCATATCATTAGAGTGCTACCATTGGGTAGTTACTCAGCAAGTGTATTCATGTCATTATATCTTTTATGTCCAAATTTCCTTAATGTATTTATGTAATACAGTTGTAAATGTCATTAAGAAATAAAAAAATAAAAAAACTAAGATATGTGCTTTAGACCATGCAATAGAAGTAAAAACATCAACAAGGCGAGATCGATAATATAAAATATAAATTATAAATAATAGCTCATTATAAAGGGAATGAAATGGTGAACATACACCTCGGTTACACAGTATGCAGGTCCGATATATTCAATAAAATTCGTTGTCATTAGGTTTTCGACACTATTTTTTCCGTTTTCGCTTCTCTAACACGGCGTCGCGTTAAGATACAATTTTGAATACTAGCTCATTACAAAGGGAATGAAATGATGAACATTTCCCTCGCTGGTCCAATTTTTTGTTTTTGAGATATTTTAATCCAGATGCAAAAAGACTTAAATTAGTCTACTCCAGGCCACTTCACCCGAGCGTTACACATCGAAAATCTGATGGCTCATAGGATGGTCATAGGATCTTTATTTTTTGTTCCAAAGCCTCTCAAAATGAATATGAGAATGCTATTTTATATATTCAAATATTACCAAGGTAAATTTTTTATTTTATTACTATAAGTACATTTTTCAATATTATGAAAGTGTTATGTTATTTTTTAGAATTTCTAAATTTCTTCTTCGATGAAGGGTAAACGAGATTTAATAAAGTTTATCTCAATTTTTATTAATACTTTAGTTTAAAAAAAATAAATCATTTTATTGTTAGTAGACAGTATAATTGTATGCGTGACGTTGATTTTTAAGCGGTATTTCCATATGATTACTGCTACGCGGAAATAATAAACTACGAAATATCTTTTAGACAAAATATAGTGAATCAGTGGATTTTTATACGCTTGCCACGATTGGAATTTCCGAGTTATATACGTCCTAGAAAGGATAAGCATTAACGGAAATTGTATGTTTCATACAAATCTGTATTCATTCTATGAAAACATATTTGTTGATTTTTTTTTTAAGTGCGATTAGTGTACTAATCGTTACACTAAAACGCAGTAGTATTAACACACGTGCGAGTGAGTTAATTCTATTTGAACTAGGTTTGTTTTTATTTTTGAGCTCAAAGATTTAAACTAAGAATAGTGATTACACCAGTTATGGATTAAGTATTAAACGCGTGTTTTATATTGATGTGTATATATTTGTTTTATATTATCGCTAATGCTCCAATTCATATTTTAGAAACAACAATATATATTCACGGATATGTAGTTTTTTTTATTCAACGATTACAACTTTTTAATATCTCAACAGATGTCTCCGATTTTTTAATATTCATGTTACAAAATAAAAAACATCATGTATTTGACGGTTTGGAAGTGTTGTCGTGTACAGATTAAAGAAAAATACATAAAATGCACCTGAGAAAAAATTAACAATTCAAATCAATGCGTTGCATTCATAAATTTTAAAAAGTTCAATCTTTGAAGAGACATTACGTTTATAAATTGCATTGTCTTCATTATCATATATTTGCATAAATCTTTGGATATAGTATGCTATGAATTATAATTATCATATTCGTATTAAATTTATCTAGAACAAAAAAAAATTATATAAAAAAATTATAATTTAAATCAAATTAGAATAAAGAAAATAAAAGAGAAAATAATCGAAACATTAATACCATGCAGGAAACTGTAAAGACGTACTGAATTATCACTCAGATATGAAATTAATATAGCCTTTTCTACCTAATTTAAATAACTAAAACAGATTTTGAATCAAGTTCCTGCGTGTCGAACGAAACCTAACTTAATCTCTGAAGTATTCTGTATCTGTATCACTTACGAATTATATTATTACGATTTATGATTATAACTTTATTGAGGCTAGGTGTGTCCCAGGAGGGTCTCCTGATCCTAGGATCGACCCATGTTGATTGTAACAGAATAAATACTTTCAGAGCCGGACTCAAATCAGAGACTCAGAGCATAGGAGCACAGTGTCTTCCTCACCGAGGTGTCAATATGAAAAATTCTTTTTCACATTTTCCCCCTTTTTTAATTGATACATCAATATTGAAACATTTCATATTGTGTCCTGGTGAAAAACTCATAGGACTTCAATCGTAAAAACAAAATATTAAATATTTTTTAAAAATATTTTTCTTGGAATGGAATTAATCCAAAACTAGAAGCATTATGTCGGTATTATCAAAACTGAAAAAGTTGTTTGAACGACAAAATCTCAATATATTTGTCACCAAACTCTTCATAAACAGTTTTGTAATTTTTGAAAACGATGACTCTTGAAAGAATTTTTTAAAATTACGAAAATCGTCTCTGGAAAATTGGGCAAATTGTCAATAATTCGTCTAACTAATATATTAAGCAACAGTTAAAAATAAAATATCTAATTTTATTTGTTAATAATAAAACTATATCGTTTCTTATAGTTACTTACTTCTGTCCTTCTACAGTATAGTATGCAATCTCTGTCCTAAGAAGTATAGGAATAAAAAAAAAAGTGTATTAATTTTGAATATTACTAATATCAGTCCCTTTAAACTGAAATTTAGTATAATTTTTTTTAATACTAAAATAAGAAAGTAGCTCGAAAAGAGACGGATAGTGATTTTAAATAAAAAATCCAAACTATAAAGTCATGATTCTCTAGCATACAGGTAAACAGTTAATCTGTTTCGTTTCTTCAATTCGGGCATCAGGGGCAGAAAAATTAAGATCATTTATATATACAAAAAAAAGGCAATTGACATTTTATCTAGCCACCCAAATATGATTGAAACAGAAGGTTCTTAAACACATCAGAGAACACAGGGCTTTCGTGCTGAAGCCTTCCCCTCCTCCCACAAATAGTAAAATATAACAAAGTCTTACAAAAAAAATTATTCCTAAAATTATTATTCTTCGTGTAATTAACTTTAATAGGACTTCTAGATTCACTTGAACACTCTTTCATAAAGGTAGTTAGTTTCTTTCTTTTTCTTCCAAAGTAATTACCGTTATATATATATATAAATAAAAAAATCTTTCTAGCTGAAGCCCTCTCCAAATTTAAATTCTGGATCCGTAATTAGCAGGGGATGGCTATATTAAACAGGTGATTAGCATGAATAAAAGGGAAAAATAAAATAAAGTACGCATAACTAAAATATATAATAATACTAAAATGTGTTTTTTTTTTCTTTCATTTTTTAATCTCGTGGTCTTATAGCTTATTGACATGTTTTAAGTCTTCATTTCGTCAATAATTTTTTTTTAAAACAAGACGTTCTGGTATAATTCATCTCTATTTCTGATGATCTCTTAACCGTTTAGAGGACAATGGGACATGTTTGTCCCACAGTATTCAAAACACCCATGGGAAGCCTTATTTCACTGTTGTAGAGGAAAAATAAAGGAATATTACCTGAACCAATAATAACTATTTTTTTCATGTTTTTATTTCTGTCTCTGCTCGTGATTGTATTTTCTACCGCCTCAGCTTTGCTTGGAGAGGATTGCTAAACTATCGAGCACACTTTCCTCCCCTCGGATCCTTCGATGACCATATACCCAAGGAGGTACCCCCGGCCACTCGATGGCGAGGGTAAACAAGGACCTTAAATCCTCAGGACGACTAGTAGCGAGCGGGCCTAAGCGGAGAGAAGGGTAGTAGCGGCAGACGGTGTCCACGACCTCCCTCAAGGACCCCCCCTCCTCTTGTTTGGCCTACACCCACCTACGGCAATTACTTCACTTTTATCTCCCCTCCTCACTCCCTCTCTCTCTGTTCTTCTCTCCCCCCTTCGTCCCCTCTCGCTCTTCTTCTCGAGTCGTCTTTTCCTCATAGTTCTCCTTCTCCCCTCTTTCTACTGGTTGGATACCTTTGCTAAATAACTTGCCCAATTACCGACCGTTACGTGATATACTATGTAATATCAGGTCTCTGGGTTCCTCCATTTTTTTTTTATATAACATAACGTACTTAAAAAAAAAAAAGGAAGATACTTTGTCCCTTATTCCAATGAGCACACAAACAAAATATATCTATGATTAAAAACTCAACCATTGCATTTCCAAAACACTTGAAACGTACATTTTCAGTACGAGCTTAAAAAGTAAAAAAAAAAAAGATAAAGTATGTTTTTTTTCTCATTTTATTGAAGCAGATAATGCAAGCTGTAAATTACCGAAAGTGAAAATATTTAAAAAATAAATTAAATGAAAATAACTAAAATAATATATATACATCGATAAGAATAAATAATCAGGATGAATGGTGTTGACATTCATAATTAAATA